TCCTTTGGGAATTTATTCATCTATTATAATATATTTATTTATGTGATTTCGATAGTCATTATGAGAGGATAAATGCTAGAAGTTATTTTTTGATTATTAATATCTGTTACCCAAAAACTTAGTCTGCTTATGTAACTATTTTTGATTAATGGTACGTATAAACATGTATTAGGAGAATATATAACYACACTGTTAGATGATGTAAGTCTAATATGTGATAGAACACGACCATGATCATTATTCAGTATTACCTGATTACTATCAATCATATCACAGTGAAGGAATAGATCTTTGATATTTACACTTAGATTGTTTAGAAACGAGCATTGTATTAGCCGTATGGTTTTGCAATTACTAATAGGGTTTTTTAGGSTCAGTGTGAAGATTGGTGTGTCTCGAGTTAATCCGATATACAGTATTGTCATTATAATATATACTCATTTTTTCTTTTTATACCTTTCTATGATATACAAAACGACAGCTACTATAAGGAGCCATGCATTCTTAGCAAGGAAGCCAACAACCTCTCCAGCTGTTCTAAATATGAAACTAGCTATTGCTCCAACCATACCAGGTAGGATTTGTGCTAATTTCTTACCAATAGTTTTCAAACCATTACCAACACCCTTAGCAACACTAGTTAAACCAGCTTTCAAACTATTGATTATGACACCTATGATAGTGCCAACAGCTAGAGCAATACCAGTGACGGTCAAACCATGGCGTTTTATTATCTGTTTTACACGTTCTCTCAACGGTAATTTTTCCTCTATCGATTCTCTTTCATTTTGTATCTCTTGCCGCTCATTTACTAGTTCACGTATTCTATCTTCATGCTGAGCTTCTTCCTGTTTTAGTTGTTCGTTAGTATCTATTAATTTGTTATTTTCTTTTCTTATTTCATCACGTCTTTGTTGTAGGGCTTCTATCTGCGTTATCGTACCATCTTTATGATCATGTGAGTTATAATGTAACTCGAATATGGATGACGCATTATCCATTTCCTCTTCAGAAAGGTCGTTATTGACCAATCTATCATAATGCTCTTCTATAAAATCTCCTAGGTTGGATAACCTATCGCTGTTAGCTTCTTTCTCATCGTTTATTTCATCCTGTTTATGGTTTATTACTTCGACCTTTGCATACACATGTTGTAGCTCTTGATCGTTCTCTGATTCCTTTGCTGCAAGATTCTTTAGAAGGGTATCGGCAGACTCACCTAAATTGCTTTTTATCCTATTAGTCATTTTACCGAAGCTCTTTTCCGAGTAAGCCTCAAAACCCTTAGTTAGAATGCCGTACCACCCTCCTTCTTTTTTCCCTTTTACTATATTAGGATCGAATACCTCAACATAATGATCTTTACTAGTTCTTATGTCGAATCCATTCTCTCTCGTTATCGTATTATTAGGAAAGTACATATCGAGATCTTTTTTCCCCTGATCATATCTATCGATATGCTCTCTACTCCAACCGAGTGTTTTCCTAAGCTGTTTGGGTATTTTCGTATCATCGGGAGATAGAACATACCATTTTGTACCATTAGGAGCCCTTACTTCGATTTCGTTTCCGTCTACTATTTGGAAGTTTTTAAACAATTTTTCGTAATCACCATCATAATCGAACTCTGGATATCTTCTCAAGATTTCATTGTACAACACTTCTGAATTTCTCTCATTTGATTCCTTTTCATCGACATTATCGAGCTCCATATATTCAGGTAATTTATTTTTTGGATTAACACGTGTAAGCCTATCTCTTATACCATTATAAGCAAAACGRGCATACTTTCCAAACCTTGCTTTTAATTGCTGATATAGACCTACACCACTAGTATCTTTTTCATAAACATCTTCATAATCAAGAAAATTGCCATCTATTTCTTCATTAACATTAGCCTTTCCCTCCTCGGTTAATGGATCGAAGTCAATTCCACCAGCCTCCATCTAATATATATTAA